AGGATCAGTTTTAACCCTGCTGCCCCTGGTGCCAGCAGAGGGGGCTGCTCTGACCTTCCTGCGCAGGCCCTTCCTGTCAGCCCTCACTCGGAGCTGCCTGCAGATCCTGATGAGCTCCTCTTCCATCTTCTCCGTGTCATTCCCAAAGCGAGTCCTCTTCTGCCCCCTCTGTTCCAGCTCCAGGAGCTCAGCTTCCCTTCTCAGATTGTACTCCCTGGAACTGCATGATGATAAAAGCCAGCAAAAGTCAAGATAAAACTTTTTCTCTCTTTTTTAGGGGTGTTTTTTGTTGTTGATAGCACACTTTTTGGTTAGATCAGGAGTGGTAAGGACAGGAACACCAGCTGATGGAGTGTGGGGAGGAATGTCAGGGATTTATTCCCCACAGGAACCAGCACTCCCAGAAGAGATCAGACTGCCATGGGGACTGTTTGGCCACTTCTGGTCCTGGGGAGGAAGCTGGGAAAAGGATCAAAGGGAGGAGAGATATGGCTGAGGTTTTCTGGGAAAGAGGGAGAGCATCATCTGTTACTATTCATTTATTAATCTGTCAGTATTTTCCATTTATTCCTTTAAAATCTGGTTTCTCTCACACCCCTACATGTAAGCAGGGCAATGTTCCTCGTTATCACATGGCAGCATCATTTAATTTCCTGCATTTCAGTTGAGTCCTGGTGTTTTTAAAGGAAGAACCTCTGGGTTGAACCTGCTCTTTCTCCTTGCAGCAGAATAAGTTGGGAGCTGTGACCCTGCTGCAGAGCTGTGACCCTGCTGCAGAGCTGTGACCCTGCTGCAGAGCTGTGGTGTTGCCCACAATGTTAGATTGGAGTTACAATAATTCCTCACTTACTTGGCTGTCTCAGAGGTCAAGGCAAGGGCAGCTGCTATCGACAGGTCTGAAAGGCTGAAGGTCTCCTCTTCCTCACTTCCAGGGGCAGGTTCATGGAAAAGAACCCAGATAATGTTCCATCATTTCACAAACTCAGCATTCTACAAATGCATGAATGTGTAGAAAGGGCTGTGTGCACCTGATGGACTCAGCCTGTCCCTGACTCTGGGCTTACCTGGTTTTGAACCTTTTTTTCCTGGTTGTGGAGCTCATTTCCAAGCTCTGTTTCCTCTCCTCCTTCTGCTCCTCCTCTCTGAGGTGGAAGAAGGCTCTGGTTCCCATGGTGGGATGTCAAAGCCAAACTTTCTTGCTGGAATAGATTAAAACTTTCAAATCAGACACTTTAACAGAATCTTTTCAAGTCCTTGCTCTGCTTTGGGGTTCAGGGCTGTGAGTGAAGGCTGATATAAAAATATTTTCTGACATCCATGCTATGAGAGGGATTTGCTTCATGATGCTTCTGTGGAAAGTGGGATCAGGGGCAGGAATGGAGTCACTCAAGGCAGCTTTTGTTCCTGTTTCTCCAGGATCTCATCAGGAACCCTGGAATGGTTTGGCTTGGAAATCAAAGCCCATCTGATGGGCAGGGACAGCTCCCACCAAACCAGGGTGCTCCAGCAGGTCCAGCTGCTGAAGCAGAGCTCTGTCCCATGCATCCCATGCACAAATCTGTAATTCCCCATGCACAAATGTGTAATTCCCCATGCCCACACAGAGCAGTCCCAGCTCAGCACTCCAGGAGGAAAATGCTTGATCCAGTCCTTTGCATCCTGAGGGACCACGTGTTTCTGCTGAGCTCTTAGGGAAAGGATGAAAAATCATGGAGAAAACAAATGCCAGCCTACAAGGAATGGCTCAGAACAGCAGGATTTCCCCAGGAATGACCAGGAAAGATTCCCAGAGCAATCCCAGTGCACAGGTGGAACAAGGAATGGCTCAGGAACAGCAGGATTTCCCAAGGAGTGACAAGGAATGGCTCAGGAATAGGATTTCCCCAGGAATGACCAGGAAAGCTTCCCAGAGCAATCCCAGTGCACAAGTGGAAGAAGGAATGGCTCAGGAACAGCAGGATTTCCCAAGGAGTGACAAGGAATGGCTCAGAACAGCAGGATTTCCCAAGCAGTGACAAGGAATGGCTCAGGAATAGGATTTTCCCCAGGAATGACCAGGAAAGCTTCCCAGAGCAATCCCAGTGCACAAGTGGGACACAGGAGCAAACCCTGGCACTCCTGGCTCCCATCCTATTCCCAGCCTCTGCTCTGGGGACCCACAGCTCTCTGCTTTTAGCCTCTCATTAATGGCTGGGCATTAAAGGCAATTTTGGATCCCTCCTCATGTCCCTGTCCTGCAGTTAAATCCCAAGCACCCAGCAGGATCCTGGCCCTGGCACGTTCACAGGCTCTCAAAGCTCGGGTTACTTTGGAAAAGCAGCTTTGCAAATGTAATTGTTGCTGAATAGAATTTGTTCGAGCATAGCTGCAAATCTTTCCCTAGCTCGTGTTCCATGACTGAAATTTTCCCTTGGCAAATCTTCCACCTGGATTTGAGCTTTGCTGCTTTCAAATCTGAACCTGATAAAAATACAGAGCCTCAGCTTCTCCCAGTATAATTTTCTTGTACAATTTTCTTACTTGGACAGTTTTCTGTTGGTGTAAATAAATTTCTTATAAACAGTCCATGGAAAAGCAGGGTTGTTGTGGTATACATGCAAAATATCCCAACATGCAAATGAAAATACAGAATTATCTTGATAATGTTTGCTTTGTGGGCACTAACTTTGGAAAAAACAACAAATGCTGACAAGTAAAAGGAGAAGAAAATGAAGCGGGCTTTTATGGAAAAAAAATCATTGTAATTTCATAGTTTCTGCTGTCTTCAGAAGTGGTTCAGCTGCAAATGAGTCCTGTCATCCTGGGCATCAGAGCCTTGTTTCCATGCTCATGAATAATTACTGATACAGACTCATTTTTACTAAATAATGGGGTTTATTTTTCCCTGAACAAATTTCATTGTTTTATAATCACAGTTAAAACCTACAGTTTTCAATTCAAATGCAGATTATTTTCTAAACATGCAGTAAACCAGAGCAGAATCTGGTGAGAAAACATGAAGCAAACCAGGATTTTCATAACAACACTGGAAAAACAATCATTAAAGCAGATACAATCACACAGCATAATCTACTTCTGCAGTGCAAAGCTGTCACACAAAACAACTGATGCTGATCCTACAAAATGCAGCACAAACAGCAGTTTATTTGCAGATAAACCACACTCACCCAGTGAAGGCTGCAGGAGACAGGCAAGGGAGACAGGCAAGGCAAGGGACAAAGGAGGTTTCCTTCTGCTGGTGGTGACACGAGGATGACTGTCCCCAGAAGAATGTGCCCCATGTTGGAGTGCCCATCCTGCAGTCAAATATAGCCCTGCCAGCCCTCCCTGGACAATGGGGACACTCACTGCTCCTCAGTGCCCCCGGCACCCCCACTCTGCCAAAGCTCTGCCTGGCCCAGTGATCTGAGCAGGGACAGGTGCCTGCAGAGTGCAGAGCTCTGCAGTGTGCTCTGCTCCTTTGGGATAGAGCTCACAAAGCCTCTGAACTGACTTCTGGAGAGTTTAACCCTGGCCAGGAATGGCCCTTGGGTAACCTTGCCGTGGCTGCCTGACAGAGGGATGGCATTTGCTTTGGCATCTCTGTAGTGATTGTCAGCTCCAGGCAGATCCTGGCAGGGTCTGATTGCACCAGGAGCTCCAGCAGCTCGCAGGTTTTGGTGGGCTGGGATTGTTTTATTTCCTTTTTGCAGCAAACAAAGGCTTGGTGCCTCAGAGCAGGGGAGCTCTGTGTGTCCAGCAGCCCTTGGTGGTGTCTGAGAGTTTGGGGCAGAGAACAGAGACTGATGAATTTCCATTTATTTGAGGTGATCCTGCAGTTCCAGCATTTGGGGAAAACCCTCCCAGCAATGGGAGGAGCAGGTGATGTTTCTTGTGGGAATTAATTCCGCCATTAAATCTGGCACTGCACCAAGGAGCCATTTCTAGGAATCTTGTTTGCTTCACCATCCAAACAAAGGTGAAACCCAGCAGGATCAGCACCAGACCTCAGGTGTGAAGTTCATTTGGGGCTGAGTTTGTGACATTCTGGCAGAGTTTGTGACGTTCTGGCTGAGTTTGTGACATTCCTAGGAGAGATTAAACAGGAGGGACTGGGCTGGCAGTCTGAAGCACTGTGGGATGAGCTGAGCTGTCAAAGGGAAGGAGCACTCCCCTTCCATAGGTTTTGAATCCATGGCCACTCCAGTGCTTCCCTGAATTTTGCATTATGAGAAGTAAGGTGTAATTATCATCTATTCTGCTTAAAATTAATAATTTTATTCATTTTGTCACATCAACCCTCTGTTACAGAATTTATTTTATTTAGAGGGGCAGGCACTGATCTTTGGTCCCTGTGAGCAGGGACAGGACTGAGGGAATGCCTGGGGCTGCCTCAGGGGGTTTGGGATGGATTTAGGGAAAGGTTCTTCCCCCAGAGGGTGCTGGGGGCTCCCCAGGGAATGGGCACAGCCCGAGGCTGCCAGAGCTCCAGGAGGGTTTGGACAGTGCTCTCAAGCACAAGGGGGGGTTGTTGGGGTGTCTGTGCAGGGCCAGGGGCTGAATTTCATCATCCCTGTGGTCCCTTCCAGCTCAGGATATTCTGAGATTCTGGGAGCTCTCCTTCATTCTGTCTCCAGAACCTGGAGCTTTCCTTTTGTCCACCATGTAAGATTTTCCTCCCAGAACTTGACAAAAACTCACCAGTGATTTTTAGTGGTGTTCAAACACCCTCCAGTGCCAAAAGAAAGGAACAAACAGGGAGGGGGAATGGGATCTTGGCTTGCAGAGCTCATCCCTGGGCAGGGATCCTGGGGAGGGGAGCGAGCAGTGCCAGCTCCCAGATTTAGCTGGGAGACAAAGAGCAATGCTGTGCTCTAGGGTTACAGCTGCCACCTGCTGCCCTGCTGCCCTGTGACACTGAGCTGCAGCACTCACCTGTCACCGGTGTCACATCTGCTGGGGACACACGCCCCGTGAGGCAAGGGGAGCTTTTATTCCCCAGGGGAGGATCTGTAGCTGCTCAGAATGACCCCGAGCAGAGCTGGAAATTCTCTTTTCCCAGCCCGGCGCTTGAAGAAGGAGTCAGAGCTCTTCATTTCTCGGTCTCAAGGTTGTTTATTGGATCTTATCTGTAAAATTCTCTCTCCTGTGTAGTAAACCCCTCAGGTTTAGCCAGGGCCCCTTGGAGAATAGAATGCTGACACAGCGGCAAAGAAGTTTCCTGACTCCAGGGACATCCGCCTTGTACCTGATCCCTATAGCCATGCAAGGCAATATTGTGTTAAACCCTACCATTGGTCACTTATGGTCACTCTAACACCTTTGCCATTGGTCAGGATTGGATCCAGGCCAAGGGTATAAAAGTAGCACACTGTACCCCTACTAACTTGGAAGAAGAAGAGCTGAGACCCCTCAGGGACCCTCCAATAAAGCCATACTCGTGGAACAGCCAGTGTCTTCTGCTTCTCCTCTCTCTACCGTCTGCTGGAGCCTTAGGCCAAGGGAAAGCTACCTAGCAAGCAAAGCTGAAATCACAAGAGCTGCCTGATCACTAAGAGCTGAATATTCCCTGCTTGCTAGGGGCTGACCCGCGGCCTTGGTCTGAGAGCGAGCTGGCTTCTGGCACCCAGTGCCCTTAGGGCTGAGCTCTGGAGCTGGAACAGCTTGCATAGGATACGACCAAGCAAGGCTCATTTACTCCTGCCCTGCTGAGGTCCATCCAGCAGGACAGTTCCAGGCACTCTGCCTGTCCCCAGGGTGGTGTTATGTCTTTATACTAAAAACTACGTGTACAATATTTACAATAACTTCCCAGCACCTATCACCTATGTTAGACAGTGAGCTTCTACTCTAAACCATTCTAAAAGTGCCACCATCACAGCAGGAGACGGAGGCCAAGAAGAAGAAGGAGAAAGGCTGGACACACCCAGTCCCCTCCATCTTGCCCCCTGAACCCTCATTCTAAATCCCCAAAATCTACTTTTCCACCTGTAATAACTTCACTATCCTTCTACTTAATTTGTCATGGCTTGCAGATCTTCATATAGGGTTGGTAACTTGCTCCATGGGCCATAATCAAACCCACAGGGGCGTTTTGGGCTCTGAGACCCCTGGCAGGGATCTTGGCCGCCCTGGACAGGCAGAGGGATGCCCTGGGTTCCCAGAGCTCTCAGAGATGGATTCAGAGCATTGCTGGGCACACGTGGCTTCCATGGGGAGACCTTTGGAGCAATGTTGAAATCCTGCTGTTTGTCTGGAAATGTTCCTACCCAGGAGATGGAGAACAGGAGGTTGTGGAGCAGCTGTTTGACAGAAATGGATCTGTTTGTTATGAGCAGTGTGATGGTGTTCACAGGGGTCTGAGGGTGAGGGAAGAGATGAGGATCTGACTCCATGTTTCAAAAGGCTGATTTATTGTTTTATGATATATATTATATTAAAACTATACTAAAAGAATAGAAGAAAGGATTTCATCAGAAGGCTGGCTAAGAATAGAAAATGAAGGAATGATAACAAAGGTTTGTGACTGACCGAAACTGTCGGACAGCTGGGCTGTGATTGGCCATTAACCAGAAACAACCACATGAGACCAATCCCAGATGCACCTGTTGCATTCCACAGCAGCAGATAATCATTGTTTGCATTTTGTTCCTGAGGCCTCTCAGATTTTCAGGAAATAAAAATCCTAAGGAAAGGATTTTTCAGAAAACGTGTCTGTGACAGAGCAGGGCAAGGCAGTGAGGTCAGCAGGGATGACGTGTCCCTGGCTCCAATAAAATTCAACAGCATCAGTATTTCTTTCCAAGCTTTTCCAAAGAGAAACAGCTTGAGAAGGGATGGTCTGTGTGTTAAATTTAGGAGGTGACTCATGAGACGAGAATCAATTTCCCTCAGCTCTGAACATCCAGGCCTCAAAAATCAATATTGACTAAGGCATGACGAAAGCAGGAAGTGGAGGATATTGCAGCAGGACAGGGCTCTCCTGCTGTGATCTCTGGGCAGGGGAGCTGCTGGGAGGAATCATTCCTGCCTTTCGTTCAGGCAGGGCTAATGCAGCCCTGAAGGTATTTAAGGGCCTGAAGGAGGGGTGGATGTCTCAGCTTGGGGACACTTTGTATATTTGGGCACCTCTGTGCGTTCTAAAAATCCATTCCCAGGCTCTCCTCAGCTCCCACCTGTCCTGCAGCAGGATGGGACATTCATTACAGTCTGGGCATGATCAGACCCCATGGCAGGGCTTCTGCAGAGGGATTTGGAAAGACTTTAAAATAGAAAATAACATAATTTTAGCAGCAGATTGAAATGCTCTCCCAAGGCCCCCATCCCTTCCACACGACTCTGCTCATACCCATCCTGTGGTGGGGGTTGTGTTTCACAACACCACCCAAAATGTTGATTATTCCCTGGGTGGCATCACTGGGAATAGTGTTGACACAAGATATGCAACTCTGAACAAGGTAATTGGCATCACTGGCTTTAAATGCCTCTCCAGGAGGGTTTAAGGGAAAAAAATGTTACCCCTGGTGTCTCCCAGTCCTTGGGAACAGCTCTGGGAGCTGCAGCATTTCTCTGAGTGTTGTTTTGGGGCACAGAGCACAGGAACCAGATCAAAGCACATTCCACAGACCCTTTGGTGCTGGATGGAATGGAGGGAGCTCCCTGGGAATGTCCTGCTGGTCACTGCCCAAGCCATGCACGTATTTCAGTCTGTGGTTCCCTCACACTTCTTCAGCACACTTGGAATTTTGCCCTTTTGGCCCCACAGGGCTGTGGTCCTTCAGCAGTTGTTGGATCTCAGAGCTGAACCCTGGCCTGGAAAGTTTCTAGGACTATTCCTTAAATCCTGGGTTGAATCATCAAAAATCTTCACTTCATGAGCCTATGGGTTATTTGCAAAATCATCCCAAAAAAAGTGGAATTTAACCTTTAACTTCAGCTTTCCTGGGCTGAGAAAAGCCCCAAGTGCACTTGGAGTGGGAGCAGCTGAATTTTACCAGAGGTAAAAGAGACCAGATTGGTCTCTGAGTAAACACTTCCCCATACCAGTCAAACCTTGCTTATTCCTGTAAATGCTTTCACTTCTCTAAAACCAATGTCCTCAGACACATTTTTCACCACAGCAGTGCAAATGAACAGGATAAACTGTGCTTTCCTCTGAATGAAAAATAATCACCTCCTCTGGCAATGAATTAGAATTTAGCTTCCTTTTGGTGGAGGTCCAGGTGCTCCGAGGATTTTGACTCCCAAACAATGGTCATGGCAGCTCTGGAGAGCTCCAGACCTCCCTGGGCCCCTGGGTGGGTTATTGGTGCGTGGATTGGGATTGGGGTAAACTGAGATGGAGGGTGCAATCCTCACATCCCTGCCTGGAGTGTGATCCCAGGTCCTTCATCCCTGGGGATCCCAGGGCAGGAGCAGAATGTGGGACTGAGAAAGCTCAGAACTGGGCCAAGGCTGCATTAATCTGTGCTGAGATGAAAAAGGCTTTATCTTTGTACAGGTATTACAAAAGGCTTTATCTTTGTACAAGTATTAAAAAGCACTGGGGACAGGGATGAATATCACAGAACTGCTGCATCAGGAGCTGTTACCCAGTTTCAATGAAGGCAAAGTCCATTCCAGGAAGGTGGAATATTCTTTTCCAAGGGTAGGACACCAGTAACAATAGTCATTTATCCAAGGGTAGAACACCAGTAACAGTAGTCATTTATCCAAGGGTAGAACACCAGTAACTATTTACTTCTTTTACTGCACCGTGGTACATTAAATACTTCCAGGTTTGCATACCTGAATTTCCTCAAAGGGAGTCACATCTATCTTAGGTGTTGGGAAAGAGCACATACAGTTTGTGAATTTTGCTAGATTTTCAGTAAACTGAATCTGGGATGGAAAACTGAATCTTCACTGATCTTTTAAAGTAATCCAATCCATAATCAATTTGAGAATATGCAGAAATAAAGACCTGTGTTAAGTGCAAAGGTGCAGTATGGCAGTGTAACAAGGAGCAG